TGAATGTATTCGATGTAGGAAACGTCTTCCGGTGATGAGTGAACAAAAACACAGTACGTGTCATCATTTCCTTGATATCAAGTCTATTTTTCAATCATTAAATTATAAGTCAAGCAGAAATGAAAAAACAGCAAAAGCTAAACAAACTTGTTATTCGTATCAAGAAAAGAAGGTATTAATATGACTCCCTACTGATGAACAAGATACAAATACACTCACACACACATACACACATTCAGTTCGATTATATTATGTGATTGAAACGGATTAAAAACAATTGTCATTGAACAAGATTTTCTTTTGTTATTTATAAATAAATATATATGTTTGTGGAACAGCACACATGTTCAGCTGTTCATCATCTTAGAGAGCTAATTATGAATATCAATAGTGCGCATAGACAAAGTAAATTGGGATATTTTTTTTTATTCATCCTGCTGACTACTTTTGTCGGACTGACATTTCGTTCTTGCTTTACACGATTGATGTACTTCTTTTTCTCTTTGCTCACTAGTAGTAGTTGTTCTTGCTGTTGTTATTATTTTTTTTCTCATCTTTTTCTATTTGACATATTTCCAAGAGTGCAAAGTAACGAACATACCGATGAGTAGAAAATGTATAGAATGAATGGAAGGAAAAAAATAGGAGAATGCACAGCTATGATAATCGATTACATAAGTTTCATGCTGTTTTTCGACTCGTTGCCTTTGCTTCTCCTCCTATTTCAACGGTTGAAAATTGAACAAAATAAATTGTCATCTAATGAACATCTATAGATGTGTGATCTTCAAAATTACATCTATATTTCACACTTAAAAAAAGAGAGGCGAAAACGACTCATCACCTTGTCACTAATATTATGAGGAATCTTCGCGAAGTGATACATCCCGTTTGGATTCACAAGAAGATTTCAATAAGACTAGACAAATTTTAAAAGAATTCACCGTGCCCATGAACTTTCTTGAGCCAATTTATGACTGTTTTATTGAATTGTCGATTTCGCTTTGAATATTTACCGAAAAATCAAATAACAGAATTTCGATAAGAAATTTCACTCATATATATGGGCGTGAGCAACCGACTTGGTACCCCATTTTGATGCAGTCCTATTATAAGGATAAAACATACTATTGTTCGGGTCATATAAGAGAGAATCCTAGATAATCCTGGATTGGCCCGAACAACATCATGTTTTATCCGTACAATAGTAGAGAAAAGCTACCAACTCATACGGTAAGCTCGTAGCTTTTCACAACTATTGTGCGGATAAAACATGATGTTGTCCGGGTCAATCCAGGGTTATCTAGGATCCTCTCTTATATGACCCGAACAATAGTATGTTTTATCCTTACAATAGGACTGTATCAAAATGGGGTACCAAGTCGGTTGCTCACGCCCATATATATAGATCTGATGACTGAAAACTTCAAACAGATAGAATACTCCTTTGTCGAGATATTGAATTTTTAAGTAGACTCCAGTTTAGCAGCAAATGATTATTATTTTTTGCAAATTCAATATCTCAGTTAAGAAACATACTTTTCAGTTGAAACTTTCAGGATATTCCCAAAGTGATGAAACCTACCTACAAACAAAATTTCAAATCGAAAATCCATTATTTGATTTCTCAATAAATATTTTAAGCTGAATCGACAATTCAGTGAAACTGTCATAACATGACTCTAGAGACTCATGAATACAATGAGCCCTTTTCGGACGTTTCTAGTTTTATCAAGACCTCCTTGTGAATCCAACATGAGTTCAAATGATGGACAATAATTCGAGTAATTCTCTCGGGTAGTAAAAACAAAACTCAACATGTCTATCCACTGGAGCAATAAGTTATTTTCATTGTACTGTATTAGTACAATCATCATCGTATTCTGCCACTTCACTGATCAAACAAAAAAACAAAACAAAATGAAAGGTGTAAAGAAATCATGAACTTTGAAATGATTAGTTTTCTTTTTAATTCAACGTTCTAAAACATTTCGAAGAAACTATCAAAATGATTGGAAGGCTTTTTTTTTATAATGCACTATCGAAAAATCATTCTGCGATCTTGATGTTTAACGAGCGGCGTTGATCTTTATCGTAGAAAAAGAATGAATGATTATCCCTTATTACATACACTCTATTGCGGCATCGTTGACACTTGGGTGATGGGTGAAGCCGTTTTCATGATTTTCTTTTTGTTTCAAAGAAGGTGTCAGAAAAAAAGACCACTTTGCCTCTCTCGCTATTTTTTTTCTCGATAAGTTTTTTTTTCTCATAAACGATTGTTAGTGTGTATATATCGTCTTTGATCTAGCAGACAGCAGTAGATTTTCTGCAAAGAAGTGTTTGTTCACATTGTGCCACTTATTTTTTTTTATTTTTTTTATTTTAGTGTTATCTATACGCGCACAGTAGGTATAGTATATTTTATAAAGCAGAACAAATTTATTTGAATTAACGTTAGATATCCTTTGTTTTTTCTTCATGGTTCAATATGGAATGTTATTCTTAGAAGAGTAATAAAATAAAAATTTTTCGTAGAAGAGGAAAAGCTTTTTCTAATTGTCTGGTTGGAAGACAATTTAACATTTGAGATAATTTTTGTTCATTGTATATGTCAATGCCATTCTCACTTTATTTCATCTAAATAGTGTGAAAAAAGATGTCTTGTTAAGATATAAAAGAATGTGATAGTGGTATTGTCTGATGGACAAGATTCTAAAATGTGTTGATAATAAAATCAAGAAAGTCTATGATGGTGATGATGATGATGATGATAATGTCTCCGTTTATATGTTAGTCAGACAGTTTCATGTTTTCTTTTGACACCCCCTACCATGGTTATCCATCATATGTATATACACTCACACATACACGAAACGAGGATCGTCTCGTTCCAGCAATTATATATCAGTGACGAGAATAAATGTGGGCGTTTTATGTTTATTTTAGAAAGCTCGATTCCAAAACAAGATGAACAATATTTATTCTTCTGAACGATCGAATGAATTAAATAAAAAATCTGTTTCAAATTTCGAAATGAAAATAAAATAAAGATGATGATATTACGTCGTTTATATCCCTATGGATGACTAAAATAATATACATATACACTTGCTTATATATCTGATGATGATTCTATAATATTTTTGTTATCTATATTTTTTTTATAAAGTGCACTAGTAGATGACTGATAAAAATTTCTCGATAGATTATTCTTTGATGAACATTAAATCCACTTGATAAGTATGTGTACAATTGACAATTGGATGAAAAAAATGCGATAAATTATTATTAATGTGATGTAATTGGAAAAACTAAATTGTTTCGAACACAGTGAGACATCGTTATTTGAACAGAATGAAATTGGAGAAATTGTCTGTTTTTCACCACATGTTTCAAATAAGAACATGGGACAGGAGAAATTTTGTTTTTGTTAACTCTCATTCGATGCAATTCGATCGATTACTCTCAGCATGGATTTAATTTGTTCATTTTTCGACTTGTCATTTGAAACATCTGGAGCGGAACAGATCGAATTCATATGTCTATATGTGTAAGGTGTAGCATCAAAAATATAAAAATGAACTCACTCACTACTAGATGATGAACGTAACGAAAAAGAAAACAAAAAAGAAAAAGGTGTAATCGTTCCTTGTTCAACTTTTCTGGCTCATCGATTATGATCAAACAATAAGAAGAGATCATCGTTAAAAATTGAGATCAAGGTAGACGATGTAATAAGATCAAACGATTCATTTCGATAGACATGAATGTTCATGACCAACAAGTGGACAATTGGGAAATAGAAAAAATCACTAACGATGAAATCTTGAATAAAATAACAAATTAGATATTTGACATAATCAAAATCATGTCATCATATAGAAGAATGATTCATGGAAATATCTTGATTGTGTTTATTTAAAAGAAACTTTTCTTTCAAAGCTTACATATCATTCAACTATAGTATTGAAATAAGACCTTCAGTAGACAAAAAGCAGCTTAGATTTATAAAACAGATCTAAGATAATGTTTGCGAAAATAAAAATTCATATTTTTTGGAAAGCTGAACATATCAAGTCTTCAAAGTTTTGCATTATTATAAAGTTTTATTGAAAGATTCTTTAAATTAATGCTAAATAAGATCATTTTACAAATATGAAAATTATGTTTAAGATATTTTTAGAACAATGAAATAAATTTCAAGAGATAGATTCATTTCACTTTTTTCCTATTGGTCAATATGTGAATGTCGAAGAAAAAAATTTTCTATTGGTGAAATAAGAAAAAAAAAACCAACGAACAACACCGCATGAACTCTCCAATCAGCACCCTGTAGTTATTTTTCTCTCGCTTGTCTATAACGACCTTTTTTTTCCTTCTATATAGGAAAAAGATTGCACGGCTGGAGATGACACAGACATTTCCTTTTTCGTATCTTTCTCTACTCGTTAGAAGTAATACATACATACTTTCTTCAATACTCCGGATGGTTGATCTACACCTCAGGAGTTCTTCTTCATAGTCTCAGTATAATCCAAAACAGATATTCAAGAGAGAACAAATAAACAACAAAAAAAAAGAAAGAAAGAAAAAATACAATACTTTCTCTTTTTTTTCTTATTGGTTGATTTATTTTCTCTTTCTTTCTCTCTCGTTTTCTCTCTTTTTCTCTCTTGACAACGACGACAAAAATTCTACTACACTGCTGTGTATGTGTCTGTGCTTGATAGGTTGCCTACTGGAGTCATTATTGCAGTATCAATAGCTAGATCCTGGTGAGCTTATAGGCACCGTACGACGCACACCTCTCCCTACAAGTTCTCAATCCTGTGGAGCATTGCAAAAAAACCGACAAGTGCCAACCCCTATCGAGATTGTTGACAACAAAAAAACAAAAAAAAACGACAAATCGCACAGTAAGTAATTCACGGCATGAGAGTAATTATGAAGTTTATCTCTTTTGATTTAAAAAAAATTTTCTCCAGCTGATCCGATCAATGTTTGATCCAACCAGTCCGTCTGTTGAAGTTACTGGTGGTGCAGGTGAAAGTACAAACAATACAACAACATCATCATATCCGAGTCCATATGCACCAGTTACATATCGACCATTAACATCAACTCCATCGTCATCTTCAATTTTTCATGTGCCCGGTTCAACATCATTAAATTCACTTGATGATCAACAACAACGTCGAACAGATTTTTCATCTTATCCAGGTACATCACCACCATTTTCAACTGCACAAGATCCATTAGCAGCTTCAAGTTTTATGTAAGATTCTAATTGAATTATATATATATATATATATTTATATTTAAAATATGCAGGACATATCCTATGTTCGATCCCGAACAGTATGCCAATACACAATATTATTCACGTTATGTTACAGCTGGTTCACATATTGATCCAACAACACAAACAGCATTTTTACCTTATTTTCATCCTTCATATCGACAAGGACTTGGTACAACATGTAATGTTACAAATATTTCAAATGGTAAAAATGACAATTATGTATGTAAATGGATTGATCCTGATACACATCGAATATGTAATCGAGCATTTGCCTATATGCAAGACATTGGTAAGTTAAATACATACATCCAATCATAGTATTTTTTTTTAATGAAAAGAAAGAAAGAAAGAAAGAGAAAACGAACGAAAGAAAAAGAAAAACGTCGGAAGTAAATCTCCTGTGGTGCTACTGAAATAATGATGAGGTTAAACAGATGACAAAAATGTGTGTATATATGTTCTGTTCACTATATAAATGAAGCTTGTTAGTAAAGACATAATAATCATGGCATTTTGTCCTTCGATTTTCTTCTTTTAGTCACACATCTTACTGTTGAACATGTGGGCGGACCTGAACAATCAACACACACATGTTTATGGCTTGATTGTCCAAGACATGGTCGAGCATTTAAAGCTAAATATAAATTAGTCAATCATATTCGTGTGCATACCGGTGAAAAACCATTTGCTTGTCCATTTGCACGTTGTGGAAAAGTTTTTGCACGTTCAGAAAATCTTAAAATTCATAAACGAACACATACTGGGTTAGTTTTCTTGAAATTTTTCTTATATAAAAAAGAAAAACAAAAAACAAAAATCTATTAATATAATATAATATTTATATTAGAGAACGACCATTTCAATGTCAATTTTGTGAACGAAGTTTTGCTAATAGTTCGGATCGAAAAAAACATCAACATGTTCATACATCAGATAAACCATACAATTGTCGAGTAACTGGATGTGATAAAACATATACACATCCATCATGTAAGAAAATATATATATTTTAAATAAAAAAACCAATATCATTTTATATTTGGTAGCTCTACGTAAACATATGAAAATGCATGAATCTCAAGGACAGGAGTCAACATCATCAACAGCGACAAATTCTTCAACTGGATCAGCAAATGATTCATGCATGAAGCGAAATAATCTTCATAGACGTGCAGGAGAAAGTGAACGATCTCCATCACCATCATCAAGGATGCATCATCATTCACAACGACGTCGTCGTTCATCTCGAGACAGTATTAATACTCATCTTCATCATCTACAGCAACAACAACAACAACAACATCAACAGCAACAGCAACAACAGCTTCAAGCAAATCATTCATCAATGAATACAACAACAACAGATAGTTGTTCGGAATCACCACCATCATTTGAAAATCTTACGCCAATGAAAGCTGCTTTAGCACGTATGCATCATCCACAAGTACAAGCAGCTCCACCAGCAACATCAACAGATTGGCCATTGCATATGCATACAATGAGTGCTTATCATCATCCACACGTTTATCATCCACATCATGCTGCTGCTTTACAACAACATTATTATCACCGACAAACAGGACTTAATTTTTGACTAATTATTATAAATATTATATGTATTTGATGTGCATGTGTGTGTGTGTCGCATTACTTGAACTTTTTCTTTTTTTTGTTCGTTTGCTTTCATTTGAAAACACGTATTTTTTGCTTGTTATTACACAAAGAATTTTACGAATTTAAAAGGAACAAAAGAGGCATTTGAGTCTATTTGATATATGTATACAATAAGTGGGAAAAGTGAGAGTGATTATCAATCGGTTCATTTGACACTAAGATGTTCGTTCATCTAAATCAACAAACTAATAACATGATGAGCTTAACATTGAATGTCTCCACCCTCGAAATCATGCATACAAACGACAACAACATATTGTCATGTTGTTATTCTTGTTTTTTTCATTCCAATTGAATGAGTTGAATACAACACATCCCCATCTTTATAATAATTACTTTTTTTTTCTTTTCGTTTTTCTATTTTATTCGATGCGAACGGATCAAACATACAATCGAATATTGAAATAAAACTTTCTTTTTATCGGTAGCGAGAGACCTCCTGGCGAGAATTTTTCTCTCTCTCTCTCTTCGCACCTATTGATTTTCGTATATATACATATAGTCTATTGTTCTTCGAACTAATCTTAGCAGGGTGCCACGTCTATATAGTCGGCCGTTCAATTACTGAACATTGACATACACAACAAGAACAAAAAAAAACGAAGAAGAAGACCACACAGAGTCTGATGTCATCCTTGACGAAATTGTATATATGTCTTATTATCCTATGTAATCAATTTTTCAATTGTCTACTTATATATATATATCATCTATTCTAGGAAGAAACAAAATATACGAGTGGAATGCCATCATTTTTATCGATTTGCTAGAAGGAAGATGATCATCATCATTTTCCACTGCAGGATGCGCTAATTGTTCAATTTGTCTGTCTCTCTCTCTCTATATATATATGTCTGTGTGAGAAAAGCTCTTCACAAACACTAGGTGGTGACAAAACTCAAATTAGAACCTCATTTACGCTCAAAAAAGAAAACAGGAAGAACTTTTCCTTATTTATAATAATCAATCAATGCAATGCTTGACAGATGCCTTCTTACCTGTTGAAAAGAAAGAAAAAAAAAAAAGAAAACGTACTTTTCACACCTACTTCTTCAAAGATGAAAGACCCCATATGTATCGCACATTAAATAAGTTTTCTTTTTACTTTTTTTTATTGTAATGAAATATACAATAGGAAATGATATTATTGAGATTTTTGTTTTTAAATAAATACAGACAAACGACAAAAAAAAAGGAAGTATGAGATATAGGCACGAATATTAGATAGATAAGGATGACCATTCAATCATTGACTATGGACATCTGACCGAAATCATATGAAATGTGAATAGATAGATGTTTAATTTAGTTCTTTCCACGACGATTGAAAACAATAGCCACTAAAAACAAGTATTAAAAGTTAAATTATAAAAATTCATACATTCAATTAACTTACTAATGATAATCAAAATAACACTGATAACAATGCCAGCAATGCAAACATTCGTCTAAATTTAATATATTTAAAAAAAAATATTATATATATTGATTCAACATTCTTTACTTTTGCATTTTTCCACCAATATTTTCGTCGTAATTGTTTTGTTGTTTGATTATATGTTGTAGCTGATGTTTCAAGATCTTCAGCACGTGTCATTAAATTATTTAATGCAACATCACGATCTAATAATTTGTCGATATTTTTCTTCATAACACCAACAACTTCTTGCACTTGACCATGAAGTCTAAGAAAATAATAGATATATAAATTAATCAAACAAACATTTCAAGACATATTTACTTTTTAACACCACCACTTGCCGTTGAACGTGTAGTATCCCTAAATAAAAATTTTAAAAAATATGTAGAAATCTTATGAATACAAAATCCTAACTTACGAATCTATTTGAATATCAAGTGCATCATCGTCATCGTCTCGAATTGATGACTAAAATGAAAAATTAAATTAAAATTAACAGAAAAATTGTTTATTATTTATAAAAAATGAGTCTTTTAACTTGAAAATCGGATGGATATTGCTATAAGGAACAATTAGCACTATTTAACGATTGACATATAATAAAGGGGATAAAATGCTTTCTTCTTTTTAGTGCACTTTCAAACATATTCCATAAAGAATTTCCTGCTCTATTACAAAGCTATTGTCTTTATTTTTCAAATAATTCTGTTTTTTTTGGCGAGGCAAAATTTAAAAGATGAACATCTATTTAATCGTCAAAAATGTGATTTGTATAAGTCTTTGCTCATGAAGACATAGACAGAGAATTTCATGCTTTTTGCTTCCATGAACTTTTCAAGGCTTCTACTGCTGTTGTTCAGAAGAAACAGGCTTTACACTCACATCTAATGGTATTTTGGGACGCATTCTGTAAAACCATGTTTTACCAAAGTGAGATTTTGTCGATGACACATTTGTTCCCACACCGACGAATATAGAACTTAATTCTAAACAAAACGGTATGATTGTTTAATTGAAGAGTAGAAACATTAGGAAAAGAACATTGATGTAGTTCTGTCAGCAAAGAGACCCGTGAAGTTAGTCGATTGAGTAAGTGTTCATCTTTTAAATTTTGCGTCTATACACACAAAAAAAAAATTTATTTGAAGAATAAAGACAATAGTTTTGTAGACCAGAAAATTCTTTATCGAATGCGTTGGGAAGTACACAAAAAAAGAGGAGAACATTTTGTCTCTTATATTGTACGCCACTCATTACATTTACATAATATAAATCATATCTGAACTTGAAGACAAATTCTAATTATAAAATAAAATACTTACATAAGTTTGAGGACGTGTATAACCTGCTGTAGCCATTTGTTTTAATGTGAGAATTGAGAAAAAAACACAAAAAATTAAAATTCGTCTCTATTTTTTCTATAAAAGAAAGTTCATTATCTAAAAAACAAACTGGTTTCAGAAAAAAAAGATGCAAACTTATGTTCTATGAAAAGAAAAAAAACAACACATCACAATATCTTGATTATGAAATTTTGTAGTGTCTAATTTTCTTTTCGATTCTTTTCGTCAATTAACTAAAATTCAGGCATTTCTGAACCACCACCACCACCACCACCAGTATTCATTTTTTCACGTGATTCAGTCCAAGCTTTAGCAATTGTTCGTTTCATCTCATCATCACCAGTTTCATACATATTCTTCATAAGTTGCATTAATGAATCACCTGGGTCTTTGCCGTCGTCCATTTTTGGTATTGGTCTATTTATGTGTATATATGTTAATATAAATAATGAAATTTTTTAAAAATAATACAAACTTACTTTTCAGGAGTTTTCTTTTCATCCTGAAATATGCATTCCCAATTCTTAGAATCAGCCTTAGCTAATGATATAATGACCATATCCTTTTTAACCTAGTTAAAAAGAAAATTTTATTTGGAGAAAGCTTGTCAATGTAGTTAATGTGTCGAACTCATGTGTTCTTTACCCTAATTTATACTAATACAAAATATATGAATTTGAAACGATCAGTCTTATTTATTTTTTGCTTTTTATACAGAAATGTTTTCTTTTTTTTCTATTGTTGCTCTATTCGTTGTTTTTTCATTTTCGTATTATGTTGTCTCGTAATTTACTATTCTAACTATTGATTTAACTGGCAAATAAACCTGTTGTACATATCGATTATATCTACAACATGTCTCAACGGATTGTTATATATCTTGCTAAGCTCAGAAGCATTAATATTGATTATCTTCCTAAGTTATAACTTGATCTTATCACGACTTTGACAAAGCAATGTAACGTCCTTGACATCTTGAATATAAAAAAATCAACGAGTCTACTATTTAGAATTGTCGCAAACTTATTCCAGTTATTCGAATTTTGAGGAAGACTTTGAAATGTGCTAGACCAGTTCAGATTTTCTTCAACATCTTTTCCCATTGTTAAGGAACACTGAGAAAAGAGTTTGATGTCTGTTGTCCTTGACTTTTATGGAAACATACTGGATAAACTTTGACCATCTCATTCTCCTCGTTGCTATGGAGAAAAGTCGCAAAACCTCAACTTAAAACTTACACTCACTATATTTTTCTTCGAAAGACATCATGAGTTCCACAAGATAGGATAGATTTTTATTTACTTTATATGACGATTGTTCAGGTTTGATTTCATTTAAAAGACGACCTCGTTTAAATAAATAATTAATATTTTTTAAATTAATTATTTCAAGTGTAAAGCCTCTGAAATAAGAAAAAACAAAAATCAATTAATCAATTATAATAATAAAATTCTCTATTTACCGAACTTCAAATGAAGAACGAACTTGATTTTCAGGTAAATCACCAACACCATCTAAATTTTGAACGTATATTTTGACATATTTATCCGTTTGATCCCAAGCTAGAAAAGAAATCTTTCTTTTTTTAATATAGATTTTGTTTATTTTTCTTTTTTTACCATAAAGTGTTATTTCTTTTGTATAAGAACGATTTGTTGATGATGGCACAGTTACAGTTGGTTTTTTTTCAGCTGCTGGTGCAGCATTTTGTTCTTGTTTTTCTTTGAGTGTAATTAAATCAGTTTCCAACCGACGTTGTTGAATTTCAAGAAATTGTTTCACCCGTGAACGATTAGATTGACTAAGTAGATTTTTAATTTCATCAATATCAGCATTAAGCTAAAAAATACATGTTGAAATCGAATTCATCATTTAAACGTGAACAGAAAGCTTTAACGAATGATCTGAAAACTTTTTATTTCTGAATATCTTGAAAGTATTTCCAAAGAGTCAAAAATTATACATATCGAATCAGTATATTATGCACTTTCTGAATATGACCTTAGAAATATGTTGTCTCAGTTTTTGTTCAAGGATAGTGAAGGAAGTTTTTAAAATCCCAAAAAAATTAGATAAAAAGTTGAATCAATAGGTATTTGCTAACTCCTATAAGTTCATTTTTGAAGGTGTCAAATATTATCTCAGTCGATTGTTTCATCGAACGGATTACAAAACTTGATATTGAACTAAACTGTTGCTTTTACCTAAATGAAACTACTGGCACCTTTTCTAGACAAAATGTCTTTTGGTGAGAAGTCAATTCTTCAAAAATGAGGATTTAAGAGAAACAAAGATTGAAGTAACTTATAGAAAGATAAAAAATCTCCAATAGTGTATTTTGTAGGATAGCTTCGGGTCGACGAGCTAAAGGTTTCCAACATTTCCTTTCGATTCGTAATAGTAAAAGTACAAAAGTGTTCGAAATGATTTTCCGTTCAAAGTATAGTTTTGGACCTTTCAAAAATCATTTCATTAGTTTCAAGAAAAACTTGAGAGAACATTTATAAGTCTAAATTTGCAAAGGACACAAAATTCTGGTCATAACCTATAACTTTTGACCCATTGGAAATATTTTCAAGGTAGTCAAGAATGAACAAACATTTTATCTCAAAACTATCGACTTATCTGTTATTATCGAGGTCTTACTTCTTGAATTTGTTGTTCGATACTGGCCATTCTCTTGATGATCCTTAATTATCTAAAAAATTATGAATTATTATAATTAATTAAACAATAATAAAAATAATTTTGTATTATTTTATAATAAATTTTTTGCAACTGCTTCTTTAATCACCGAAATAACACGTCTATTAAGTGGATTTAACTTTCCATTACTATCTTTTGCCATGGAATTTCCATCAATTTTTAATAGAGATCTTTTTCTCCTAAATTGTCTTAAAGGAAAAAATGCTATGGAAGTTGTCTCGTGATAATCATCGTCAACTGGTAGTTCTTCGGACTTATAGTTTTCAAATTGTTCACAGATATCCGATTTACATCGAGTTTTAAATATATAACAACGAAATATATCGTCATGAAAATTTAGATCAACAAATGAACAAGTTCTTAGATGATCAATATCACATGATAAAAGAGTTCGAGTTTCTTCATACAATTCTTCTATAGCAGTCTTTTCTATACGTTGAGGGTCGTCATAATCATATTTGATAAAACCACCACAACAATTATAATTTTGTGTGTAATCATGAACAAGCAATAGAGATGAACGTTCTGCATCGACAATAAGTACACCAGATCCTAAATACTTCTTGAAATCAAAAGAAGCCATCTTAAATGTAATGTAGCATTGTTGTTGATTATAAAAAAATGCATTTCATAAAATCAAATCGTATGAAAATTGCAGATTTACAGGACAAAAAAAATATATAAAAATCTGTTTGTTTTTTGCTGAGGACTTTTCTTTCTGTATCCTAAGTCAGCAAGAAGCACTTGAAAGAAAGTTTAGAGAAGCCATTTGTCTAGGTCATCATGTTCCACTTGTTCGGTGAGGCCGATTCTTTTTCATTTCCTGACTAAGATCTACTCGAAAGCTAGGCCAAACAATAAACCCCGAAGAGATTAAATAATATGCATTCATCTGATTTAGATTTTTCACTATTTTTATAAGACATTTTTATGGGAACAATTATCATAAGCCGGCTAATGACTGTGTTGGTCATTTCTTTTTGATCAAGCGGACGCAAAGATCGAAGGTCAGATATCATTCTTTACTTCTAGCCCATCTAGAGTTCGTTAATTAACTTCTATAGAGTAATACCTTCGCCTTCATAACACTATACATCAGAAGCCAGTCAAGCTCACTAGTGTAGAATTATTATCTTTCGATTTATCATTCTGTTCTCTATAAACACTTACAAGTGTTGCGATAAAATAGAGCATAAACCAGAAAGAAATAGTACAGCAATTTGTTATCAATGTAAAACAAAAACTGAATCACATTAAAATAAAAGTTCAAGGGTTCATTTTTATTAAGCATTGACTAGGAAATATATTAACTGTTGTCGACAAGAGAAAAAGTTAACAAAAATTCATAAAAATTTGACTAAAGCTTCTTAAACTTCAATGACAACGGACAATCTGATTATATCAGATGAGAAGCAAAATTACATACTTATACAAATATCTTAGCTTTTATTCTACCTGTCAAGTTAACAGCTTAAAAAATCGAGTCACAAAAGAAAATTATAAAACATTTATTGTTACTAATTGATTATGAAAAAGATAATTTTTTTTAATATTGAAATAGTCAAATGAGATCATTAGAGAAATACATAATTTCTATTTTATTAATTTTTTTCTTAAAGATAATAACATGAATTTTCAAATTTCACGTAGATAATATCAACAAGCATACACAAAAGAAACAGTCGTCGACATATTCCGATATACTATATGCTCAAGTGTCATATGTCAGAGTTATCATCAGTACTAGTTAGTCTGCGTTATTTATTTTTTACTCTTATAATCTCATAGAGAATGTGCAATGAAATTTCGCTAAAAGTTGACTACGTCAAATATCACTATCCACAGATAGAATAGTACAACAACTCGTCACTTCAGTATCGGTATGGATTTCAGATAGGTTCCATCTTTGTCATATGACTCATTTTCAATTGATGTATATTCTTTAGAAATATTGAGTAATCTCTGAGATATGAAAACATGATTCTAACATATAAGATTTTTTCAAAAACTCGTAAAAATCAAAAAGAATCACGCTTGTTCTTAACATGATATACTAAAATTTTAATACTATACTTTATAATAATAATCTTACGACAAAATATTTTCTGATTAATTAAAATATTAATATTTAATCTGAAACAAAAGTAAAAAGAATGATTAGATTTTTTTTCTTGATATAGAAAAGAAATCTTTTATTAACACAAATTTAATTTTAGTAAATTCTCATAACCAAAACACAAGAGTATTATTCAAGACTAAATACATACAAGAAAAAAAGACAAGTTTATCTAAGTCTTTCTTTTTCAATAAATATCCGAATCATATGGAATTAAAGCATTAAGTCGATATGGATCACAATAACATCGAATTAGCAATGTTGTTGGACTTGCATCAGCGCTAAATATATACATAATAATAATTAATTTCTTTTTTTCTTTTAATTACAAAAAAACAAAAAAAAACATACTTGCATATACCATTACAATGTTGTGGGACTGAAATAGCTTCTGATTTGTTCGTTGTAGCACCTGTTTGTTGTGTATTATTTTCTTTTGAATTGAAGTTTTCGCATATCATCATATCATCAGTATCATCTATTTCAATAATTGATGATGATAATCGTTCGGTTTCTACAGATTTAATTTTTTTCGTATGACAACTTGTTTCTACCTAAACATAGAAATTTAAAGAAAATTTTTTTCATGATTGTTAAAATTCGTTCATGACCATAATTCATAATTTTTTAATTTTTGTAATGAACGACAAATCTCTTAGCAAACATAAAATTTTGTACAATAATTTCACGCGTGATATAAATCAAATTAATCAACATTCACTTGGCTACGCAGTAGATGCAAAACAAATCAGATTATTAACCTGTCGTATATATTCAGATGAATTGTTACATTAGAATATCCGAAGAGAGACATGTTCGACTACAAGTTCGAAAACTTAAAATCAAAGAAAAACTTATACCTGATTTGTCATGAATAGAATTCGTGCCGAAGGAGGATATACCTCATCATCTGAAACAAATTTTCGTTTGTTGCTATGTAAATTTTCAATTGTTGTAGTTATCGTTGTCGTCATTATCTATTGTCTTTAGAATTCTATCTAAAAAAAAATAAAAATTTTTTTTTTCTCCATTGTTGCAAATGATCAGAACAATTTCATTATTGATATGGAATGGTTCATATAATAAATAGTTGTCATAAATATTTATCTAGAAATAACAAAAACAAGAATGTTGTTATTATAGTTGTTTGTTTTTATTCTAAGTTTTTTTTCGTGCTATTTCTTTTTTTAAAACTGTAACAGCATTTAATGAATTTGATAAAGGATTATTATGTTTCATTCTTTTAACATTTTTATTTATTGTATCAGATTTTCTTTTATTATTTGTTGATATTGGTTGTTCAGAATTAGTTGATGAAGTTTTTTTCAATGAATTTGGAATTAAATAATCAGGTACATGTTTTAAATGTTCTTTTACTTTAACAATATGTAAAGCTGAATCATGTCGAAGTAATTGTAATTCTTTTTTATTATCATTAAAATAGGTTTTTAATTTTTTTGAATTAAATATTTCAGATTTTATTTCTTTTAAACGTGCTTCACGTATTGATACACGTGTTATAGCACGTAAAGCATCTAATACACGATAACGAAAACCATCAACTTGTTCAGATTTAAAACGATATAAATGAAACATATCTTCACCATATTCATTTTCAAGTTCACCGCGTACTATTTCAAAATATGGCATTTCTTTTTGTGATATTAATGAAAGAGCTAAACCTGAAATTAAAGAAAAAAAAACAAATATTAATTAGAAAAATACTGAATTTTCAATTTTAATAAAGTTTAAAAATGAATCAACTTTTAAAAAGCAGTGTTCTATTCAAGTTTTCTCTTTCAGAGAAGTAATTCAAGGTTCTGAAAGAACATATATGCTTTGCGAGAGGAAATGGGAGATATTACTCTCCCGACCTGGACAGTGAATAAAACATTGTTTAAAACTGTCAATCAAGCTCGATGTCTCATACTTTCTCATTCTTTCCAGATCGATTTTGAATATAGAGCGAATATTATTATATTAACATCAGTAATTCATTTTTTTATAACAACATCATAAATAGAAAATAATTAATAGAAAACGGAAATACAGCTTGTCACTAATTGCATCTTGGAGATCAAACTTCATCTCTTTCATATCTCAATTTTGTCTTCTTCAAAATCCGAACTATTTGTCAGAACCTAAATAAATTCTGTCAAATCTTGTTATAGTAAAAATATTTGTTCTACCGAACACAGATAGGAACCTACTTGTCATATCTCGTTTCCTATCTTCATATGTTCAAACTCAAGATTAACATTGAATGAATTAGTTTTTCAAAATTTATCATGTTTCTATTAATTGACCTTTACTTATTCTCTATCTATAGACAACCTCACACTTTCTTAATAATTCGTACAATATATAACAATAACTCATATTTAACTCACCTTTTTGATCTACACGAGCAGTTCGTCCGACTCGATGAACATATGAATCAAAATCCATCGGAAAATCAAAATTGATAATATTAGCTACTCGATAAAAATCAATACCACGTGATACACCATATTCTTTATCTCCTTTTCGTGTTACATTTTCCGTTTTCTTCTTTTTCTCTACAAAAAAAAAAGAAAAGTTTTTCTTTAAAAAAAAAATAACAACAATCATCATACTCTTTTTTGACTCTTCTTCAGGTTCTGCTTCAGTTTGTTCTTCTTCTTCTTTTTCGGGTAAAGCATTTGGTGCATCTGTTGCAATCATTATATCATATAATCCATCATTCTAAAAAAAAATTTGAAAAAAAATTAAAATAAATAAATTCAAAAATTTTCATACTTACATATTGCTGAACAATATGTAAACGTGAATCCATAGGTAATTCACTATTTAATAAACAAGTTTTTATATGAAATTGTTCCATTAATAATTTTAATCTATATGCTTGTTCAACTGAATTAACAAATAATATTGTACGACCAATTAATAATTGTAATTTTAATATAGTTATAATTAAAACAAATTTTTGATCATGTTCACAATAAATATAATATTGTAGTAATTGTTTATTATCAGGTAATATTGTTGAATAATCATCATTTTGATTTATTTTAACTGGATTATGAAGAAATAATTGTTTCAATTGTAAAATATCATTATTAAGTGTTGCTGATATTAAAAAACATTGATATGATTTTGATTTTGATGGTAAATATTTTGAAATTTTTTTCATATCATTTCCATAACCAAGTGAATAAAGTATATCAGCTTCATCAAGTATAAATAATTCTAATGTATTTAAATTTAATAATGATGTATGATCTTTTAAATGTTCAAGTAATTTTGTTGGTGTTGATATAATTATTTCTGGTAATGAATTATTATTTAATAATAATGATTGTTTTTGTATTTGTGTTGATAATGAATTTGATAAATCATATAAATTTATTTCACGATGACAATATGTTGTTAATTTAAATAAAACTGATGATATTTGATGACATAATTCTTTTGTTGGTGATAATATTAATATACGAACATTACGATTTGTTGTTTGTTGTTTTGTTAATAAATGTTGAATAGCTGCTATTGCATAAACACCGGTTTTACCACTACCAGTACGTGCTTTAATAAGAAGATCTTTACCCGATAATGCATATGGAATTGTTTCAGCTTGTATGGGTGTTGGTGATGGCCATTGTAAATCGGCTATAGATTTTAATAGACGATTATCAAGACCAAAATCATAAAATGAACGTGTTACAGTTTCTTCTTCACCTTCGTCAATTATATCGGGTTCTGCAAAGCGAACAGACATCTGAAAATTTAAAGTGAGAGAGAGAGAGAGAATTTAATTAAAATAAAAACAATTATATTATGTATTATTGTAAAATTTCTAAACGATATTCAATTATATTTTCCAACATATCACTGAACTAACTAAAGGAAAGGAAGTAGAGAAAAGAGAATAAATAAATAAATGAATGCATACGCGCATGTTAATTTATCAACAACCAATCAATCATAAATTTCTATTGATCATTATTGGACTCAAAATTATCCGATGAAAATTCCGGTTATTAGTTTACTTTATTTTTAGATTTTTTTTCATTAAGTTTCTGTTTTTCTTCAGTTTATTTTAATTTTAACATTTTAAGCAAATTATTTTTCTCTTTATTGTCATTGGACAATAGCGTCATCTTCAGATTGTATTTCAAATTAGAAAAGTTGGATATTTTTACAAGTAGAATTTATCATAGCAGGTATTCAAAGCAGAAGTAAAATGCACAGAGCACCTGCTGTTCTATATTGTTTGTATTCAAAAAGTAGAGTGTATAGGGCACATTTTGTTGGCAAAATAATTAAATGATTTTTTTCTAAATGGAAAAATAATAATATAGTTAACCATGTTATTTTAGAACGCTTCACTTTTTTTCTTCCATTCCTCAATTTGTCTTTGATAATATGAGAAAAAAAAACGAAAATGTTTTTTATGCTTATTATCTTTTTTTTATCAATAGGTACTATTTATCTAACGAAAAGTAATGTATTTTTCCTTTTTTAATTACTAGTATAAACTGAGTGTGCAAAAACACTTCGTTTAGAATTTCTTGTAGTAATACTGCATACAAATAGAAGCGACGTCTTCTTCGATAAGTGACGCATCTTATACTAATGTCTATAAAATCTAATTTCATTTGTTGTCAATCTATACTAATACTTTGTTCATTCGTGTAGATGAATAAGTTTATTCATTTAGTTCTGCGCAGTTTTGCTTCTTTTTTTTTTAACAAGATTTGCTTCTCGTTATTTGAGTAAAACAGATAAAAACAATCAGACAGTTGTTTATGTAAACAAAATAACAAACCATTACGAATATGGATCTATTTCATTATATTAACACCATTATAGATAGAGAATTATTGAGCTCTATCGGTGTTCAATAGCTTGCATGATATAGACTTTGGAGATGAGTTTATATTTAGATTTGCAAGGATTTCCAATACTTGCTATAGATCGAATTATAACTCAATGTATTTTGTTTGTACTACGTCTGTTTTATTTTGGAGATGCACAGAGTGACTGTATTGTACCTCAAAGGATAGGATAAAGATTAGAAAATTTTTTTCATTCAGGATACAAAGAATTTTAAAAAAAGCTTATCTTACACATTTGAAACTTGATACTATTTTGTTATTTATTACTTTTAGAATCTTCCACCTAGTATAGGATTAAGGGAAAGTGAAATAAAAACTTCGTAGAGTAAAATAAAGGTAGAGTAGGGTTAAGGCTTAGAAAATTTTTCTCAGTCAAGGTATAGAGTACGAAAAACACTTATCCTTCACATCTCTATTTTGTTTTTTACGATTTATATATTATCGTCATGGCTTTACTCGATTGATTTTAAAAAATAAACAATATTTTCATTAATTTTTACTTCAAAATAAGACTCAGACAGTTTAATTTGTAATGAGAATGCATCGAAAGTATGAGATCTAGCAACATAAATAGTAAAAATATTAGACAGAGAAAGAATGTGTCATGAAAAGAGTTAGCAAGTTTAATTTAGAAGACATCATTTTACCATAAATATATTTAAAAAAGCGAAAATTTGAATACTAGTGGTGAACAAGTTCTATATTCTGCACTTATTTGATCTTGTCTTTCTATAATTTCAAAATAGATTATTTTTAGACATATAAGTTGCATAATAACATTTACATATTATGAACATCTTTATTAGTTTTATCATTTTGAAAAATAAATTTTTATTATTCATCAATAAATTTTCCTATTGAATTTCGAGAATAATTACGTGAAATCAGTTATCAATGATATTTGTTCGAACATTTCAATAAAATGTTCATTTAGAAACTATTGATTCAATCAAAGATTTAGTTAAAATTATGAATTACATACATTGTGAATTATATTAAATAAGGTTCGGTTTTGTTTCATCGAGACTTTTTACTCAAAAGTATTTCATGAAGAAAAAAAAAAGACAACTGTTTATTAGAGAAAATAACTGTCATAGCAGAAATGAGAACAGAATGTGATAGTTCATAAGATACTGGCAAGAAAGTATTATTATGTCTTACTAATCTTATTAAAATATTCATCTCATGACAAACAATCTTTTTCATTAAATCAAGAATTTGTTGATTCTGAAAAATTAACTTTTTTTTTTCGTGGTGAACGCATAATCTTTCTTTGATTAATCAATAAGTGCATATAAGCTTGGATGGAACGTAGCAATATTTGCATTAAATTGGTAGTGTCAGGTCACTAATCTGGATTTGTGTGGAAGTAGACAAATCCAATATCTACATCTACATCCTTCTGGACATGCTACTAATGGTAATGTACGTTATAAAAATGTTGCATAGTGTCATTACTATTTAGTTTATTTCTTTCTTCTCAAGACAAGATATTATTGAATAAAATAAAATGAAATTCTCAATAAATCGATCAATAATGATTTTTTTTTAAAAACACAGGACTATACATTCGTTTCTTTTTCTTTACTTTTTATTATTCTAATGCAAATATACAGTACGTTTATCACTTTCATTCTTAATTGAAACGTATAAAATGTCAATAGTCGTTAAAATAAACCGACTAGACTCTACAATACATATATATTTAATTCATTTCGATAGATGATGACTTTTTTTTTTAAAGAATAAGAATTCTTTGAATTAAAACAATATTTCTTAATCAGAAGCCTTTAGGTGAAATATAATAAAAAAATACTCATATGAAAACCCATACACGTCCAATATTATTATTTCTACAGTATGAATAGTGACATCTATGTTCAATGAAAATAAAAAAAAAATCATCGAAGTTATTATTATTATTAGTTTTCACAATTAAAAGCTTTGAATAAGAACTATTTCCTGATAATAAATAATTGAATAGATCATTCAAATACGTTAACATCATCGAATATTTTTTACCAATCAACAACTAGTTTTGATTAGATGTCGTTGTTCTTTTTCATGAGACTTTTGTTGTGATTCAAAATTTTTCTTACAATATGTCACTTTAATTACTATGAAAAAATAAATTTTACCATAGAAGTAATTGATTATTTTAATTCAAATCTAATTTCATATTTATTAATACATAAAAGAACAATATGATTATCTTATAAAATATTAGATGAAGTGAATATGTATTTTCCAATCGGTTCATTTCGAAGTTTTTCATTACCTATCGAAGACTTCTGTGAGATTATATTTATTCGAACTACACGTGATCGTCTTAAACTTGTTCTACTTACACCAACGATTATAAGTGTATGGCTTACAAAAGTAAATAATAAACAATCTAATTGAAAAAAATGTATTCTATGATTTGTTTTTCTTTTGAAATATATTTAGCCATCTACATTAGTTGGTCTTGTGCAACGTTCAGAAAATTCCATAGCAGTACACGGTGCAAATGTTTATGCTGAATGGCGAAATGATACTCAAAAATTAGCTGTTTCAGTATGCTAAATAAAAATATTTCAAATTTAATTTAAACTTTTGTTTTTCTTTAGACAAATAAAGGTTATATAATTTATTATAAAGTTATAATTGATAAACCTAAATCATCATTTTTTGGTGCAACTAATGATGAAGATCCTTGGTAAAATTTATATATACATTTTTTTTTCTATTTTGGTTTTTTTTATATAGTGAATATCTTATTCGACTTAATACGGAAGCACAATTCGTATTTCCTATGGTACGAATTAAACTTACACAAGATAGTGCTTTACATGTTGGTTCCGACATTCAAGGGTAAATTATATATCTATTTGATAGGGATTCATTTAAAATGATTGTTCCCTTTAGATTAACAAATCTGGGTTCTGATTTATTAGTAGCAGATGATAAAGGATATCTTTATCGTATATCATGGGATGGTATTATTCATCAACATTTAACATTATGTTTACATACACTTTCATATACAACTTCTTTGAATTCTGATCGAGGTTTATTTTAATGATAACGATTGAAGAATTTGAATTTCGTTTTGTTTAGTTTTTAAAATTCATAGATTAGATCTTTATGCAAAATATATTGAATTTTCACCGTTATTAAATGGTATAGGAATTATATTTAGTGATGGTACATCGGGTTTAATTATATGTGAAACATCAAAATTTGAACCACAAGTATATAGAATTGATTTGATTTAGTTTAAAATTCGATTGATATTTTTTTTTTTTCATTTATATTTAAGCAATGTCAATGTATTCTTATTCAACCAACAAATGATGAAAAAATTTGGAAAACTCATTGTTGTGTTGCATTAAATGCGATTTATCAATTATTAGCATTTGGTTCGACAAAGTAAATATTCAATTAAGATTTATTTTATATTGATTTGTGTTGGTTTTTGTTTTTTTAGTGGACAAGGTTTTGTTTATTATATTGATGAATTAACAGCATCATTACAATTAGCTTTTAAAATACAATTATCAGTAGAAAATTTTCCAGGTATGAAAATATTATGATGTTGAAAGAGATAGTGAAGAAAATTATTTTTTGATAAAATAATTTTGTTTTTATTTTTTAAATAGATTTAGTAGAAAATTTGGGTGCATTATGTTCAATGAAATGGAGTCCTGATTATCGAGTTCTTTGTACTTTATGGGAAAGTGGTGCATTTGGTATTTGGACAGTCTTTGGTATACTTCTTCATTGTTCTCATTCATCTGACCAAGCATTGTAAGAACTTAAAATTTGAAAGAAAAAGAAAATTACATGGTTTGTTTTTCCTTTTGGTAGAGATCCAAGACAATCCTATGCTTTTTGTCATGTTATTGTAAGTCGAAAATAAAGATAAATTATGAATTGATTGATTTAATTAAGGAATGGGGTCCTGACGGATATACTCTATGGATTGCATCTAATAAATCTAGTACATCGTTACCAACAGTTACGGATGATGATGTTGAAGTACCAGTACAAAATAGTAGTCAATTAATGTTATTAAATTTTTTAAAATCATCTGTGATTAATAATCCTCATTCGGTTTGAATAAATATTTTAGTCTTATAAATTTTTTCTTATTATTTTTGTAATCTTTTTTTAGGGTAGCATTGAACATTTATTATTACAGTCTGAAGATAAAGTTTATTTATATCTAAGTGGTAATCAACAATCAAACAATGGTAATAATAATGGATTATCAATATCTGTTGGTTGTGATGTTGGTTGGCAAGTTATTCAATTACCTCAACTTTATATTCATAATAATTGGCCAATAAAAGTAATCAATTTCTTCTTTTTTTTTTTTTTTTTTGTATTTTCGTATAATTTATTTTTCAGTTTGCTTGTATTGATAATACAGGTCAATATTTAGCTGTTGCTGGTCAACACGGATTTGTACATCTTTCATTATTTACACGTAAATGGAAATTATTTGGCAATGCTGGACAAGTAAAAAAAAACAGCGCACTTTTAAATATTTTAATTGTTTTAATTAGGAACGTGATATACGAGTTGTTGGTGGTTTATTATGGTGGAAAGAATTTATTATATGTGGTTGTACATCAACAAGTGAAAATCGAGATGAAGTAAGAAGAAAAATTATGATATTAATATTATTTACTAAATTAAATATATATGTATATGTTTAGCGCGTAAATAGACATGAAGTAAGAGAGAATATGGATGTATTACTAATGAGAATCAACGAGAAAAGAAAAAGATCTTATTTTGCTAGCATGTACATCTATAGGTTTTTATTTTGAGTATTAAAAAAACTAACAATTTTGCATGTTTATTTTTATTGTTTGAGATTTTTTTTTCGTAATTGAGAAAGATTGTTTAAAAAATAATAGTACAGAAGCTTCTAACATAACCTTTTATACTATTGAATAATAAGAAAAAAACAAAGATATGTTATGAATTGAATTTAGATTCGTCTTTATTCACGATTAACTAATTTGGATAACCAATTTTCAAATGTAACACGTTTACAATCACCTATTATTTGTTTAAATATTTATGATGATACAATAATTGTATTTTCGTAAGAGGATAAATGTTTGTTTATTTTGATATATACTTATAAAGACCTATTTTTGTTTAGATATGATTTACATATTATGTTATATGCCCTTGAGCGAAAAGAAGGAAAACCAGGTAAAGACAAAGAAAATGATTTTTAGCTTTTCAAATTATTATTGACAATAGTAGAGAATATCGAAAAAAATAATTATGATATGCACGACACATGATATGATTCGAAGAAGGACTTTTTGAAATAATTTGATGTGTATACATGTATATATGAAAGTAAACAAAGAGTATGTGATTAAATAAAAGGTTGTTTTGTGATTCAGTTTTGTTGAACGATAAATCTTCAAAGTTGCTTGGTTTTGTGAACATTTATTACAATAGTAAATTTAACAGATCTCAGCTGAAAAGTTTAAGCATTGAGTTAGAATCAAAATTTTGTTTTCTTTTCGAATATATGTTTGGAATTTATACGTTAAGAATTATCGATGCATCTTTGAAGGGCACGAAAATAACATCTGAATGGCAATCGTTCAACTAACAGATCTAGATTTGTTTGTATGTTGTGTGAAATAGATTGTATATTATTTTTCTTGATATTCTTGTCATAAAAAGGCGCTCAATTTAACTTAGATCCGTTGCCTTTTGTTTGATCGTATCATGTTCTGAATTTGTAAGGATCAGCATCTAGAGAATAAAGGTCCTTCAAATCAATAATGTCTTTATTGCATATTGTCTATGAAGAATGTTTTGTTTTGCTTAGCGTAAAGAGCGAGACAGTGTGTTGTACAGAGTTAAGAGCCGAATGTCTCGTAGAAAATCTGCAAAAAATGATCGAGCTGATTTTTTATATCTAGAAATGAAGGAGTTTTTGAAACTTTCAAAGATTCATTCCTTGTTTCGCATCTATGAGTCTCACAAAATTTCTAACAAATATTCGAAAAGAATGTAAAATTCTCATTATAACTAAATTCTTTAAATTTTCTGCTGATCTCCATAATTAATCAACAAGTGAAAGAAAATGTTATCCAGAAACTTTCATACCATCTGTTAGTAGTTAACCAACATCAATCTATTGACGTCACAAGATCTTTTGAAACATAATTGTAAATCACTTAATTGGATTACATCTTGCTTCTCGTACAAGTAAACAAACCGATTCAAACTAAAACTAGTCGAGTCTCAAGAATTCTCGTAGGAAAAATATACATCTTTCTTTTTTATCAGTTATTCTTGAGTCTTCGTTAGTGCATATCTACACAAGTGTAAACATGGATTAGAGTCATTTTATTTAGTAGGATTTCTATTCTTTCAATGTAAATATAATAGAAAAAAGTCAATATTTTTATATTATTTCTTATTAGAAAACTAATTCTCCCTATATGAATCGGAAAAATAACTATTATTTAACTATCTTCATATGATTTTAGCTCCTACTGCATTTATGGTAAAATTACATGAAATATCAGTTGAACCTTATGTTCCACATGCTGTCTTTGTACCATTTATTGGTTTAACATCTCTACGGACAGATTCAGGTAAAGAGAATTTTTCTATATCATAAAATTTTTATTTTTTCTAACCAAAAAAAAAAAAATAAAGGTTTACCACAAGCAAATACATCTTCATCAAATGATAATACTCCTCAAAGTATTCTTATTAATGTTTGTGGTCGTCTTCTTCTATTACAACAAGAACGAGGTGGTTCATCATTAGTTTTACAAAAACCTTCAAAAAAAAATACTTTACAATCAGTTACATTTTTACCACCAGTAATGATTGCTGCATGGGTTGAAAGTATTTGGACAATATCTCAACAAAACTCAACAAATCCATATTTATCAAATGCATTATGGCTTTGTTGTGGATTACATGGAATGAAAGTATGGCTTCCATTATATCGTAAAGTTGATGAACCTATATTTCAATCTCATCGAATTATGCTTACATTTGGTTTAACAATTTATCCGTTGGGTAAATAAATAAATAAATAAATACATAAATATATGTATATATAATTAGATTTATTTATTTTTGAAAATTTAGCTGTTGTTGTGGAAGAAGCTGTTATACTTGGTGCTATGGCTGAATTTGACAATTATAATTCTAAACCGTTTTGCTCGATTACAAAAACCGTATTTATTATTTTCTAGTTTTTTTGTTTAATAGTAAATTATAATTGTTTATTTATATAGACTCAAGTCTTTCTCAATCATGTCTTTCAAGAATTAATTCGAAAAAAGTAAATTCAATTTTTAATATTAATAAAAAATAATTTATTCTTCATATTAAGTCTGGATTTTGATGCATTACAAATAGCTCAAACATGCAAAAGTATTCCACATTTTTCTCATGTTTTGGAATTACTTTTACATAAAGTGCTTGAAGAAGAAGCAACAAGTACTCAACCAATTCCAGGTAAATAAAATAGAGTGACAAAGAATTTCTAGAATAGGAATTTGATTGAAAGAAAGTTCTCGATAACCTGAAATTGGTACATAAGTTATATACTAATGACATGAATAGAAATATAAATAAAGATATAAGCTAATGCCCAAATCAAAAGTGGCTCAACTGATCAACTGACGCCTTTAATTACAAATAATGAAGTCTAATGAAGATCTCTTTGAGAGTAAATTATTTTTTAATTATGATTGTTTTTGTTAAAAAAATTTCGTTTAAAATAAATTGTATAAACCAAGAAACAACAAATCGAATATAACAGACATATTAAATAATCCCTTTTGCTTAAGATGAGTATCGTAGTGAACTAAATTTCCTATCGATTGTATCAGATTTATTCTTATAAACGAGAAAAAAACACTATTGATCAGAAGAAAATGCCATTAAGTGCAACATTAAAAAATTAAAGCAAGGTTTCTTTTTCTTGTGTATGAAAAACATCAAGAATATAAACATAAAGCACTCGCTTCAATATACGCCTTTGGGGCTTCTATTATTGAGAGAGTTACTAATAAAACTTGGCTGTGGGTGTTACCCAATAGAAGATTTATCCACATCATATCGTACGTGATACAATAACCACAGACTTCTGGAGTACCAACCCAATCTTGAGAGTAGCACTGCTTGTTCGACTCCTATCTTAGATAAAAACAGAACATCATATTATAATGCTACGAACTGAAGTATATAACTTTGTTAATCTGTAGTGAAGTTCGAACATCTGTTCCCAGACAAAGTAACGGCTACAAAATACATAATGACCATGATCTCAGACGTTGGTGAAAAATGAAAATGATTTCTAGAGATTATTCTTAATCATGAGTGCTTGACGATCTAGAGAAACATTTTTTATATGCAGATGGCTCCTAACCAAGACTAGTTTAATAGCATCTGCGAAGCTTTGCTCGAAATACTGAAATTGTCTGAACACAATAGAACCCATCTAACTTTTAATATGTCATTTACATTGATCCATTTAGAAGAGACATCTATTTTCCCATTGTTTTAATCTGAGTTTCCTACTTATGAAATAAGTATCATAAGAATAGCAAAGATTTTATTCGTATATTAATAAAATTCTACAAACGATCTTTTCATTTATAATTTAATTGATAATAAACATTCTTAGATCCACTATTACCACGTGTGACTGATTTTATAAAATTATTTCCTCAATTTCTACGTATTGTTTCACATTGTGCACGAAAAACTGAAGTAGCATTATGGCCATGTTTATTTTCAACATCAATTATTGGTGACCCAAAAAAACTGTTTCAAGTAAAATTATTCTGTTCATTTCGTTTTCATCTTTACTAAATTATTCTACTTTTTGTTTTTATTTAGCAATGTTTAACTAATAATAATTTAGAAACAGCCGCATCTTATTTAATTATTATTCAAAATCTTGAAAAAAGTGAAATAAGTCAACAAGTATAAATTAAATTTTATTTTTCTCTATAGAAAATTTCTTTTTATATTTTCATTTAGTTTGCACAAGTTTTACTAGAACATGCTCTTGATCATGGTAAATGGGAATTAGCTACTGATATTCTTCGTTTTATTCGTTCTATTGGTAATCTATAACAATACCGAATTTAAAACAAACAACAACAAAAATTCATTATTTTTTTTTAGATCCACAAGATTTAAATAATGATGAATATATTCGTACAATAAATACTCGATTCCCACCATCAACAACAAGTAATCGTGTATCAAATAGTCTCACACAAAAATCGCCTTTATCACCACATCGTGATACATTAAAATTTACTTATGTTACAAATATGCGACAACGAACATCAAGTGTAGCAAGTACAATAACAAATACATCAACAATAACAACAATACCAGAAGCACCACCATTACCCACATCATTAAACACAACTAAACCAAAAACATCATGGCCATCATCATCAACTGTATTAAATAATAATTCATCAAATGTATCAACAACAAATAGTCCGTTAGAATCTTCAAATAATTCAACAAATGAAACAAGACGAAGAAAAACAAGTTCGTCAGATAATAGATCACCGAGAAAAGAGAGTGATACTCAACAGCAACAACAATTACAATCACATGATTCATTTGATAGTTCATTACCACAATCGTCAATAACTCCATCATCAATTCATTTTATTCAACGGACATTAAATCAACATGCATTAAAAGCGATAAGTAAAGGTCGTTTAAGACATTTAGGTTATATGGCAGCTAATATAGGTGATTTTGATCTTCTTAATTGGCTTAAAAGTCATAAGTATGCAAAAATATTATTTATTTATTAATTTAATTTTTCAATTAAATTATTGTTTGTTTTTCTAGACATGAACCAGAATTAATTATTTCAAATTATCCCGAAACACTTAAAGCACTTCATATGGAATTCAATTGGCCATTTCCTGTTTTAGTTTCACCAAATGTTTATTTCAATCCGATTTATCGTTAGTTTATATTTCATTATTTCAAAAACTAATTTTTGTTTTTAAGGAGATAAAGATTCAGTTGCATCAAGTACGGATAATAATGGACATCATTCAGATTCAGGTCTTGGACCAAATGATCGAAATGGTGATCATGGTATTATATTGAAATTTTCAACAACAAAAATAAATATTAATAATAATTAATTATTATTATTTTAGATGAGAAATATTCAAGACAAATATCGCGTACAACGTCAAAAGAAGAAATGAATGTAGATTTAACACCAAAAAAACAAAGAGATATTGGTTAGTAATCATAATTTTAAAAAATATGTTAATACCAATAGAACAGTTTATTATGAAGACAATTTTCTCATGTTGCATTTTCTATTCTGTAGCTTGATATTTATGTATTCATTGTCGAAGATTTTTCTGAAGGAATTAGAGGGAAAGTGTCAACAGAGCAATATACCAAACTTTTCATGATATCTTTTCAACTCATTCAATTTTCTTTTTTTGATTTTCAATTTAACAATACCCTAAATATTTCCTTTTTGACAGCAAAAAATTCGAACTTATCTCTATTGCACACATACTTTTAATACTCTATCAGAGAACGATCTAAAGAAGAGACGTATTGAGAACCTTAATTTTAATGAGCAAGTCATTTTTACTTTCTAGAATATTCTATGTATCATTCTATTAAATCGTAAAATTTGTTAAGCTTAATATAGATTTTTTGCATTTGCATAGTGTATTATTTTGCACTATAATGACAAAAAAAGCTCTTCATGTTTTTATCGTGTTCTCTTTTTTTTTCTAGTGGAGACATTAAGTTTAACATCTGAAGCAAGCTCTATGCCAATGGATAATGATATTGATGAGTTGCTCAATAATCATGATATTGAAAGTCTTAGCCAAGAATTAGCAAACCGTGGTCCACAATTATGTGAAAAACAAATACGGTACAAAAATAAATAAATATTTAAAAATATCCTAAATAATATTTATTATTTATAATAGATATCTTTATGATATATTTTTAATGGCTGATTGTTATGATTGGGCATTTCTTTTTTCACTTATACTTAAAAGTCAAGCAATGATTACTCAAGTTATCAATGCTATTCGAATACAAGATTTATCTACACAAATGTTTGCTTTACAGCGTGGTCTTGCTGAATTAGAAACATGGGCAGATAGTGAATGGTTTGTTGTTAGATGTTTTTTCTCATATCATTTCGTTTTTGAATTCTATATTTCTAGTCCTGAATATAAGTCGTTATTATTATTTGTACGTAATCAAGCGCAAACATTAATTAATCAACGTCGAACAAATCTTTCGTCTTCTCAGTCAGTTCCAACAAAAAAACTAGTACAATCAGATCAAGGTACATATTATTTTCTTTTTCAATCAACGAGTTTTAAATAATTATATATCTAGATGATGAATTATTATCATTAAAACAAACACATACAAATGACAATCAATCTGAAACATCACGAAGAACACTTTCTTCACGTAATCGTACAAGTTCAGCTACATATTCCAATCAACCAACATATACATTTGAATCATTGTCTATCAATACACAAGACACGAACAATAAAAATAGTCGTGATACATCACCATCTTTACGTACACGTCGTTTTAGTGATGATGCTGTTTTTCCTTCTTCAGCATCATCAGAGGTTGTTGAACCATCACTTTTTTCACCTGGTTCAGTTCGTGCACGAACTATTAGTTCAATTCAAGAAGATAAAAATTTACCATCATTAGGAAAAAGACAAAGTTCGGTTTCAACACCACCAGCTGATCATCCACCACCTCCTCTATCACCATCAAAACGTCTTGATATTCGTTTAAGTTCTGGTAAAACAGTTAATACAAGTGATTTTATTCATACAGATCATGAACATTCATCATCTGCTAATCATCTTATTAATCCACATATTGAAGTATCTCATCATCAACAACAACAAAATCAATTATCAAATGAAACAGCACGAAATAAGCTTTTACAATCTGTTTATGTTAATAATACAAATACGAATATTCCTTCTCTATCAGAATCGTTAACTAATGGTACAAATTATCATACTCATGCTAGTGAATCGTCCTCCAATTGTGTTCTTTCATAAAGAAAAAAGAACAAATTTTTTGTTGTGAAATAAAAAGACAATGAGCACACGTACACATCTAATAAGAAATTGTCAGAGATGTGTTTTTCTGTGTGTGTCTTAATCTTAATGTGCAATATAATTTTTCTTTTTTTCGTTTTATTTTTCGTTTGTCACGATCTGAGTGCACTTTTTTTTTGAATTATCTACCTTACGCTTTATGACACACATTCACAAATGGGTTAGTTTACTGAACGAGTGAAAAATTTATATGTGAGTTTGTGTTTTTCTTGATTTATATTTAAAGAAAAAAAATTTCTGTACAAAATACAGTAAGAAAATCTTTTCATTTTCTTGCTTTTTGTTGTTGTTCAAGGATTCATTGATTGGTATAAGTATCATCCATGTGCCATTCAATATCTATTGTTACATTTACTTTATTATTACATAGTCTATTTTAGTAAGGCTTAAAAAATATAATTTAGAAGTTTTAGTTATGACTATAAGGAAATATTGTTATAAGTTTAAAATCGAATAATTTTATTCTTACTTCAGAACTTCAAAAATATACGACTGTTAACCAGATTATAATAAATCAGCTATTTTTTTCTGTTTCTTAAAATCATGTGTAGTGAATAGAGTCCGTTTCATGTTCTTTTGAAGATTTCAATCAAGTAGATTATTATTGCATCATTGTGTAAGCAATTGTTTTGACGTAATTCTATGTACAGTAGAGGAATGGCGATGTTTCATGAATGCAACTATGCTTTTCTTTCACATAAAAAGATAAGATCTTGAATAAAAATCAGCACAAAACAAAATTTCTTCTGTAATTCAGAAAAAACACGAAATTATTTTATTTTTGCCAAATTCATAATATTTGAATCAGCTAGTATAAGAATATGGAAAATGTTTAGAGTCATTTTTGAAATTACTTCATGTTGGATTTTAGTTTTGCTGTGACACAGAAAAAACTGTCTTTTTTTGACTCATTGTTCACTTGAAATGGCACTGAAATGTTGACACTATTTCCTACCAGGACAGCGATTTCTTCCTAGTTGACTCTCCTTAACTGCTACAAAACGAGTAAATATTTGACCAACATGGGTTGGAAGTTTCTATGCCATCAGCAACTTTGTGAATCAGATTGAAACACATTCTTTTTCGAAGAATCACGCACATTGCAATTACGGTTAGCTTTTTATACTTCATATTTCTTCTCGCTACGAAATACAACGCAAGAAAACTACGCCTACAATATACACGGCTATTTTACTCTACGAAGTAAGGTGCGGGGAATTCGAAAAGTTCACGCATGATTAGATATTTTTGAAAAGTACATCATTGGATAGAGCTCGAGGAGTAGATTCCGAATATCTACTTGAAATCGAATTTTGATCAAGTTTTGACTGAGAAATCTTGAAAATACTAAGCAGCGGCCAAAAAGTGAACTTTTCACACTTTTCTAGAAAACTGAAGATTTCATCCTGAAACTTTGTTCAAAACTCAACTTTAATTACATATTCGGATTCAGCATGAAAAACTGAGTATATCCAAGTGATCGAGAAGTAGGTTTCCTTAAAACCTTGAATTAAGGAATTTTTCTAACAGAGGAAGGACGAATGATAACACCTCTCCGCCCCAAGTCCTTCAAGTCTTTTGTTTTAAGAGCTTTCTTGGACTATTATGCATCATTCGAACCGCCAATCGAAGACGAACAAAGTTACGCATGCACAAAAAATAAAAGTGTTTCCTCGTTGAGAAAAGTTAATTTTACTGAAATAAAGTGTTATACTCTATATACATATTTTACGTTTTCGTATAAAATCAATCCAAACTTCGTTCTAACATCAATCTATACGTAAAAAATGGCGTAGAATTCAACGGGCATACTTACTAACATGCAGTTACCATATTTGTCTCAGAAAACTAGCGAGTTTTTTTAGAAATGTGCATTTCTTCGCCATACAACGCTGTTGTTTTATTGCTAATCGTTGTGTGTTGATCCTCTCCGGCACGTAGAGCCGAATGCACATCGGAGAAGTCACCTAGTTCTTTTTTTTAAAGATTTTGAGAGTTTTCTATCCCTATTTTTGGATTTTGAAGTTTTATGTTTTTTTGTGGGTTTTAAAGTATTATTTCTTTTTGTTTTTCAGAAAAGGAAAAAGTTTTAAGAAATGCTAGACCTATGAAAGTTTACTGTTTGAAATTTTTCGATGAGAAGCAACATCTGAACGACACAGATGACTAAAGAAGAGTTTGAGAACCTCTTCATACGATTGACCTTGACGACTATATGCATGGAGAGAACACCAGAAGCGACGGAACAGTTTCATTTGTATTTTGCGCTCTTCGAAACTGGCTCGAGATTCGGGAATGAGACGAAGCATTGTTGAAAAAGTTTGATCACTATATGCTCTTATATATCTCTTCATATCACACCACAGACCTTCAATACTATTTAATTCACAATGAAATTTCGGACAGAAAATAACTTTGACATGATATTTCTTAGCTAATAACTCGAGTTTCGAGAGGTTTTGAAAGGCTGAATGAGTAGAGAGACGAGTTCGAATTTCTGGCAGTTTCATAGATGGTGAAATAGGTACTTTCAGATCTCTGGCTAATTCGACAAGTCCTTTCGAAAGACCCTTGTGCTGACCCTTTGAAAAGTAACATGAGACAGAGACAAGTTGTCCATTATCATCAGTGTACTCGATTGAATCAACAGAACACTTTGTACCAATGCCTTTGCTGAAATCATTGATACTATAGCTTTTAGCAGAATGTGTTTTCGCATTGTCCACAATAATCTCGACAATATGATCTTTAAAAGCCTCTTTAAATGGAAGAAGCATGAATAACCGTTCGAATTGGGCTAAAATCGTTTCGTTATTGAAATATGCCTCCTGGCCGACATTGATACCCGCCGTGGCTGAGTTGTTGAAATAACTCAAACCACTAGGAGCAGAAAGGGAGGGAAACTTTTCAACAGCATTATGAAACTCGGCATCGGAAAGAGAAAAGAAAGGTCCACTCGGGTGCTGAACAAGGAAGTCAGAGATCATATGTGAACGACCTCGACCTTTCGAGAAGAAAGGTGTATGATCTTCCATTATCCAACGCTTTGCTGAAACCTCCCCGCTCTTGAAGGTTGACTCATCGTGAAAGATGAGAATACGAGGATTATGAGTAGGACTTATCCATTTTGGCTGATCACCATCACTAATAGTATAATATTCATCTTTACGTTGAAGAAAATAAGAAATAAACTCATTTCGATGAATAACGACATCGGCACGCTCGTGACCTTCGAAATAGGGTCTGGCACTGTTGGGCTCAAAACGAGCTCCCCAACGACGAAGATCAAGCCTACAAGATTTCTCGAAACGAATGAGATCATCACCAGTTTTAACAGTTTGTGTTAACTCGTAGAACTTTTCATCTACAAATTTGGCCAAATCACCGACGGTGAAACTTGCATTTTTCCTGGAACATCCCTCGATAGCAAAAGCTTTAGCTTCAACTTCCAAACCAGGATAGTCATCGTAGAAAGAGGGAAACATTTTTCCACCCCGACCATCAGCAGTAAATGTATCGAAATCACCACAAATGAACACTTCCGACCATTTATGCGCATGAACACGTCGAAAAGCACCGATTTTCTCAAGAACATCATCGGTAAATCGACAGCTTTGACCTGTAATACGTAACAACGTATACAACAAGACAGATAAACGACGAGATCCACAATCAGCCTTGCATAATTCGAATAAATCGCCTATGATCAAGTAATCCAATTTTTTTAGAAAACCATCATTCTCATCAACTATTGCATCAAAAATATCATCAACCTCCTCCACATCCATTTCACTTGATTCTTCTTGAACCCATCGGCAAGAGGCAGCGGCACTAGTCTGAGATTTTCTTTGTGGTGGATGAGGCATTGTTGTGTTAATAAAAGGAATTGAAAAAAGGAAAGATTACAGACAACGTGTTTTCAAGGATCGTTGTCAAAACAGTAAAAAGTATGAAATGAGCAGTCAAATTTTCATAGTGAAAAAAGATCTATGAGGTATCCTACTGTCCCAACACGTTCAATATTGGTAACTACGTGTTAGTAAGTATACCCGTTGAATTCTACGCCATTTTTTACGTATAGATTGATGTTAGAACGAAGTTTGGATTGATTTTATACGAAAACGTAAAATATGTATATAGAGCAAGGGGGAAACATCGTACTTTTGTACTTTCGTACTTTAATGTACTTTAATGTACTTTAAAGTACTTTAATGTACTTTAATGTACTATAATGTACTTTAACGTACTTTAATGTACTTTAACGTACTTCATGTACTTTAAAGTACTTCATTGTAAGGGAGCGGGATTTTCGGGAAAATAACTATTTATAATAAAGGTTGACGAAAGTAAATCGGGGTCTGGGAATCCGAATCTGTAATCGGTTTCTCAAAATTTTGCAGTGGATTTTTGGGCTAAGGAAGAAGTATTTTCGGGAAATAACGATTTTCTATAAAGNATTATTTACAGTGCTCCTGAGATGACATCTTGACGACGTACTGCTGAATTGGTTACTCCTAAGAAAAAGATTGAAGCTCATTTTCATGAAAAGAAAGTTAGCTTCGGCCATTCGATCCCGCCGTCCAGACAAATATTTATTAGATCTAAGATTAGCTAAATGAATTCCTCAATAGTAACTTGAACAGCTATGTATTAATCCAAATGAAGTTGACTTAACTCTTTTATATTATCTACCCAAATTTTATGATACAGTATTGTTAAATCTACAGTAAATTCAAACAATTTTTGTCTCTTTTCCGTAAAAATGATTGTTATTCTATTTCAATTTCAAACCTTATTCTTTCTTCTAAGATTGATTTCCAATTGTTTCAGACTTTAGTTTTCTGCTTTGTTATTCTTGTTTGTACTTATTTATGTAATATAGAGCTGTGATGAATGCTGAAATATTTTAATAAATAAAACGAAACACGTCGGTGCCATCAGCTCTGCATTTCTTTAATTATTTTTATTCGAGCACATTTACTTATTATTCTATTATTAGTTAATTTCTCACTTAATCGATTGCTGAAAAGCAAGAGTGGAGACTAGCATATTGAACTTGTCTCTTCCGTATGAGTTAGGGCAGTATGTTTCTCAATTGATTTACGCACATATACACCCACCCTCGTCGTTATTGACGTCAAAATTCATATATTATTTTACGACAAACCGATCAAGTCAAGTATTTCATATAGATGATGCGGTTGATTATCGTGAAAAAATTCTTCAATATATGCAGCAAAGATAAACTTATGAAGAAATTACGTCGAGTAGTTTTCCATCAACTGCTGAATTACAACAATTTACTTCTTTACTTAATCGTCTTCATTACGAAGAAAAAACAATATGAAATAATGTATCCAAAAGAAGATGAAATTAAATTAGATCATCCTCATTTTCTACCAAAACCACATTAAGTATGTGTTTTATTCGGAAAAGGATATTATTGAGTTTTACCTCACTATGATTTATTACAGGTTTATACAACCATTAGAATCTATACTTGTTTTTATGCGTGCATCAGCAAACAAAGTTTTAAAACTTCTCAATCAGTTTCTTCATCCTATGTTTAACTGTATTGCAAATAAAGCTTTACGAATAGTATGAGTATTATAAAATTATAAGAGAAATATCAACACTAAGATTGTTTATCTTCAACAACAAAATCTATTATAGTTGATGTGAAAAATATTTATAGAATGATACCAAGAGATAGAGCATTTGACGCCTTAAGACAATTTTGCTCTAAACATACAAAAGAACACAGCATCGGATATTCATGTATTAATACAACGCTTCGATTATCACGGTTTTTTTACAAATATCAACTTTTTTGTTTTTGATAATTAATAATTATAAATAAACTCGTGATGGTAATATGAGATCAGCCTTTATTATAATATTAGCGAATATATACATGTATGAAAGGAAACAAACATTGATTCAATATCAACATGATCGAAATAAACTTTATGGCTGATATAGTATTCTAAAAGCCTAAAAACGATTGATTTCTAATTATTTTACATCCTTTAGATATTTTTATGATATTTTAATGACTGCCAATGAATCAACCGATGCCATAAAAGAATTATTTCATGATGCATAAAAGAAAGAATCTGAATATTCATATTAATTCTACTATTCATAAATCAGTGGAATTTCTTTTCTGTTTTCATTCAAAATATTTAAGAACCATTAAAAACATTCATCTGCAATATTTCAGCTGGTAGGCCATGTCTAATATCGTTTATTTTATCCAGCTATAAAAGATATTGGACAGAATACTTGAAAAAAAGATCTTAATTATTGATTATAACAAACATATGTTTTTTATTATTTTAATTATTGATTCATAAGGTAGAGAAAAAACATTACGCTATATATTATTATGAACTTTATACTCATACGTTTTTTTTTCATATCGATAAAGATTTTTTTGAGAAAATCTACTTTTCTGCATTTGATTTGTAGGTATATAAAAAATTTTCTCAATTGTTGCAACATCTATGAATTGTATTGTTACTATAGATTATTGTTCGTTTGATCATTTATCTTCGTTATTCTGACCATACTAGGAGACCTACACCGAAGCTAATGTCAGAGTCAACTAAATGTTTCATTAATAAATCAGATTTAGCACAAGAGACTGCTCGAATTGGAAGTTTTATTCCTTGATATTTACAATACAAATTGATATGTTTTCGGAATTCAATTAGTGTCCCTTCAAAGATTACGTCTATGAGAAGAAGTCAGAGTCAACTTTGATTCCGTCTTTTCTTCATCTTGTTAAGGCCCTAAATAGGCGTAAATCAAGTTTAAAAAATACCTCAGTTTGTACAATGGATATTAAAGAATGAAAATCACCATTCAATAAAACCTCTATTGTTCAACATAATTTACTGATAGACAATTTAGAGAGATTTAATCGCTTCTAAAAATGACTTCGATGTGGATCTCTAGATCATACCCATATTTTTGTTGTGCAACTTTTTTTTTTATCAATAAGATAATAAAAAGTAATCAATGAAGATAATCGTACATAATTTTGCTTAGAGGCTTATTATGTACAGTTGTATTCCAAGAGTTTGCTAGAGAAAATAAATGTTGAATAAAAAAATTATATTTTTCGTAAAACTTTTCTCAAGTGTTTTTAAAAAATTGTTCAAAAAATTGATATACGATTTTCTACAGTCGAATCAAAAAGTAAGTTATAGCTTTGGCATGAAACAATCTTACATCAAAATATCGATATAATTAATTGATGAAGAATATTAATAATGATCTTCAGATTATGCAATTCGATATAAAACAGATCAATCATTTTCAAAATCATAGTTTGAAATTTATGCGAAGGAATTTGAAATTGAAAAAATAAAAACTGAAGAAACTCTTAATTCTTTGTAATGATCAAGCTCAAGAAATACAAGCTGTTTCCGATTGGAAAACTCGAGAAAATAGTAGGAACTTAGAAACAAGAATCCGTTTGTTGGCTCTGGTGGATTCGGACCGAAGCTAAGAAATCCGACCATTAGATTCGATCACCAGATTCATGCTTTCAAGTTTCCTAGCATTTTGCACTAGTTTCTCAATCGAAAACGGCAGTAGCCTGTCGTAAAATCATTAGCATAGAGAGTAAGAATTTAGCAATAGGTGAAAAAAAAACACTTATTTATTCATAAACAGAACCATTGGGTATAACACCAATTAAAGTTTTTTCTCGTAGTTCATCAAGATAATGTTCATATAACCGTACATCTTCATGATTAGATCCAAATGAATGACGAGCAATATTAGCAGCTTTTGATGCATATTCAATAGCATTTTTATATTGTTGTAAACCATCAAATACCATCGCAATATTATAATTAGTTAATGCTAATATTGAATGATTTGGTGAAAGATATTTCTTTTGAATTTTAAGTGTTTTTTCATAATACGATAATGCTGATGTATAATCTTGAATTCGATAAAAAACTTCACCAATTATATTATATGTCTTGGCTATTGATAAATATTGACGTGGAAAATGTTTAAGTTCATTTTCTAAAGCTGATTGATAATTTTGAATAGCTTCAACAAAGCTTTCTTTTTCATTATAAATTTCAGCAATATGATAATAAAGAGAAGCTATCTGTAAATAATCGATTTTTGATGCATGCAGTGCAATATGTAATGCACATTTTAAATTTTTTATTGCTTCATTTAAATTATTTTGCCTATGAAGAAGAATACCATTATTAAAGTATTTTGAATAAAGACTAGAATCATTTTGTGATAAATTAATTGAAGAATTTTTTAATGATGTTTTAAAATATAAGAGTGAATCAATTAAATTATTTTTTTTATTATAAATAAATCCAAGTTGTTCATTTAATATAGTTAATTGTTCTGAATTATTAATTAAATTTGATTCAAGTAATGTTTTATATAATTCTTCAGCTTTATCTAATTGATTAATTTGAATAAAATAAAGACCTAATTGTAGCCATGAAGTTTGTCCTTCAATATATTTTATCGATTGAAGATAATTGTTTAATTGCTCATTATCATTATTAATTAAGATTAAATTTATTTGCCAAATTTTCTCTTCAATTTGTTTTATTTTACTAATACGAAATAAAGAATAAATAGAAAATAATATTTCATTTTCAGAATTTAAATAATAACTTAAATTTTCTAATGAAATATATTTAATTGATGAATTTATTTTCATTCGAAATAAAACACCGAATAAATTAGGATTATTTTTTGCTGAACGTGCAAAACTTAATGATATTTGTCGATCAATATTTGTCCAAAGAAAACTATTAAATGAAAGAAAACCATTCTTATTATTTTTTAATATTTCTAATTCATTTTCTAATATTCCTTGTCCTCGATAAACAATCATTTCATCTTGATTATTCATTTCATCATATGATCGATTAATTTGTTGATGAAGATCACGAATAAAGAAACCGATTTTAATAAGATGTTCTACATTTTGTTTACGAAACGCTTTATTAATTGCTAAATAAAGAAAACATTTTCTTGTATACCACCAAATAGCTCTTGAAGGAATATAATATTCTTTGAATTCATTAATAATATTCGATTTATTGCAATATTGCTCACGAGCGAAATTAATAAAATTTCTTTTAGATTTCTCATCATATTCAATTTCATAAAGAAGAATTTTTTTCATTAAATATTGAATAATAATTGATGATGAATTAAGTATTTCAATTGGTATATTATCTTTTTCTGATAGATAAAGTTTATGTTTAAGTTTTTTACATATCGGTTCAATATTAGTAAATATACCTTGTATTTTTCTAAATTGTTTTATCCATGATTCATCTTTTAATCTATCATTCGAAATAACATAAATTGCAAGAAGTTGAGATATGTGATGAATATTGGAAACAACTTTTTTAGCAAATAAATCAGATACAATTAAAAATAAATTTTCTTCTTTGATACGAAGTATAAATACAAAAAATTCATCGATATCGATAAATAATTGAAAAGAATTAAAACTATGACGAACTTGTTCAATTGACTTTTTATTTTCATCAATATTTGTAGTTAACCAAACGACAATATAATTTTCGATTATTGGAGTTTTACAATACTGTAGTAATGTATCTGATGATTCTTGTGTAACACATTTTATAGATGTTGATGTTAATTTATCTGCGTTAATTTTACTTGGTACATCTGTTATAATCTGAGGATAATGTCTATGTAATGAGTCTGTGTTTGTATAAGATACCAAAGTAGGTAATATATCTGAACGATTCTGTGAGAGTAGAGGATAAGACTTGCAACATGCACTTCCCATAATGTAGATTTTAAAGGATGTCGCTCTAGAAAAATTGAGTTAATTGTGATAGAAGTTCTTTTTTTTCTTTCTTTTGAATGTTTTGTTGTAAAATATTCTTATGTTTTATCATCATAAAAAATTCAATGAGAAAATGATAAACAAACTCAACTTTAATGTTAAAGATAGAACAAGAATTATCTTTTGCACTCGAAACAATATCTTACATAATCTTACATTTATACTTAAGAACAGGTTATATTTTGTTTTATTTTGATTGTATGCTATTATGTAAATATAATCAAATTTAATCTTTTGATATAACAAATTTGTATGAAGAGATAAATATTAAATATTAATAATAAAGGGAAAACTTTTTGTACTGATGTAACCGAACTGTATTTTTGTTTTTTTTTAGTTTGATTACAAAAAAACAGGCTTTGAGATTAGATTGAGTGAATTTATGTACTCTCTTTAGTACATTGTTAATATTTTGTTGATTAATTATTTTAATTATAAACATCAATAAAAAAATTTCTTCTCTTGTCTTTTTTTGCAAATATTTTTTTGGAAACTATCAATAATTATTCGATTATCAAATTTTGATGATTCTTTTTTTTCAATAGTAACGGCTTAAAAGTGGAGTTATGTAAAGATGATTTCTTTTCGGTTTTCAATTTTTCTATTAAGTAAATATCAAACATCTATCTTCTTATTAGTATTTTAAATGCACATATATATTTCAATGATACAATAATTTATTTAATTAAAAACTATATTTAATAATTCATTTTCTACAAAATTGTTTATGAATTGATACCGTCTACTAGACGCGAAAACAAGTCAACGAAAACAAAAGATCAATATTTGATTGATCTGACTATTCATGATGCTATCATATATACATGATACTATTTCATAGAATTTCATAAAAATTCGTTATTAATAAATACCTATGTTTCTTTCATTTATCGATGATCAAAGCATATATCTCAAATTTCTCTTGTTCTATGGTTTTTATTAGTTCATATCAGCACATGTGAATGATAAAGAAAATAAAGTGATGGTTAGTATACATTTCTCCGAAATTTGGAGATCTTCTTTTCGATGACCGACGCTATTGGTAATATTCTGAGATAATATAAGGTGCGCGTAATGCAAAATTTCAGCAGTTTTATTTTTTCATTCATTCATATATGGTTTGATAGAGTTCGACGAGTTGATCACGAATATATAGTTTTTATTTCGATCACATCACTTTTTGCTAGAAAAAAAAAACTGAAAGACTATGATGAGGAAAAATGTCACTTTGCTAAATACGAATTAGGTTTTTTTGACAGAAATTGTAAAATTTCGATTATTTTACTTTCTTAAACTTTGTGAAAATATTGTATTCTGATTCAGCATTCAAAACTGAGTAAAATAATGTTATTTAATTGGATTTTTAGTGAAAAATGTAAAAA